CTGAAAAAGGGACGCAGGTGGCGCTGTTCGTTAAACCACAGAGCCTAGAGCTTGCCAATCAGAAGGTCAGCGGTTCGAATCCCCGCAACGGGGTGAGCTCCTGTTGCTCGGTCCCAGCTCCTGCCATCCTAGCAGTTCGAAAGCACGTCAAAGTGCAAGTAGATTAATAGGTACCGCTCTGGTGGGAAGGTAAACGGTGTTTCCATGCGCTGCTCTGGTTATCTAGAAGTGGCTTAGTCATGCTGGCCACATGACCCGGAAGCTGTACGCCGGCTCCCTCGGCCAATAAAGCGAGATGAGTGCTGCAACCCCAGAGACAGTAACGACTGGACCTAATGGTCAGGGGTCCCTTTACCCTTTACCTTTAAAGGCTGAAATAGAGGTATGTCATAAACTATACATTTTAAAATGATGGTGATGCTTTTAGACCAGGGATAGGGAATCTTTTTCAGGCTGATTCATTTCCCCCCACAAACTTCTGGAAGCCACATGGTGGTGGCGAACAGGGCCAGTTGCAAAAGTGGGTGGACCAGAGAATGTAAATTTTACCTCTGTGCAATTGTTCCTTCTCACACTTTCTCTCTGTGTCCTCTATCCACAGAAGGAAGAGGCATTATAAGAGACCAAGAACCTCCAGGGAAGAACACCCAAGGTGCGTGTGACGGAAGAACAGTAGGGGATTGGACTAGGATTGCCAGACCTCTAGGTCTGACCTAGAATCTCCAGGTTGAGATTTTAACCTTTAGTTTTTCTATATATAAAAATACTATTAAGACGACTATGCTGTGTGGGGAGTTTGCAAGATTCATCCTGGCAGGAGCCAGCTGCAAATCATTGCATAGACACTCGCAGTTGATGAATTACTTGTTTTTCTCAACGCAGCCTACACAGTGAAACGTCCCACAAGCAAATCTGAACACATTGAAACTTGGGGAATCTGCTTTTTGGCTTGGATGGCTGAAAAACACACACATTTGAATGTGATATGGCTAGCTGCAGATGGAACCATCATCCATCTATATTGTGTTTGGAAACACTCTGAATCCTAGCAAAATCTGAAGTTTACAAGCAGGTCTCATTTCTGAAATATGAGAGTTTTATGATCCATCTTACTTGGAGAATGAAGTCCTTAAAAGTATCTTAGGCGTTTCTGGAGGCTGGACACATTCAACTGGTGTTCAGAAGTAGGAACACTTCCAATCTGTGCTATTTTTCTAGAAAAAGAGGTGCTGGAGCTCACAATGAACTGTTCTTTTATAATGGTAATGGCGTACACCTGAGAGGTGCCGGAACTGAGTTCTGGTGAGTTCCGGCTGAAAAAAGCCCTTCTTCCAATACATACATTTATTTTAATTTTCAACTGAAAGCCACATGCAGCTCAGGACAGACTTCTGGAAATCTACCCCCCCCCCCAAGAAAAACAGTCAAATGTTCTTACAATGCCCACTTTGGTCCAGAAAGTAGTTCCAGTTGTCAAATATATGGTTTTCCTATAAGTTGTTTGCCTAGAACAGGGATGTGGAAGCTTCCATCAGCGACAGCCCTCAGAACTGTGGATCAGGTGTGATGGGAGTTGGAATTCAACAACATCTGGAGGGCCAGCAGTTCCCCATGCTAGATTTAAAATAAATAAAAGCCCCCCTCTCTTTCTCTGTGTGAAAAACCAACCAGCATCTTCATTCAATCTATGCTCTAGCCACAAGAGCTACTAGCGAAGAATCAGCCAGGTATTTAATGAAAGTTTCATCTCGTCCTAGAACATTATTAGCTGATCTTTCCAGGGCCGATTTGAGAAAAGCTCTTATGCTGCTCAGAGCTGGGAAAATGTCTTCAGCTTGTTTAGAAAGGAAATACTGAAATGTACCTTTCAGCTTAAAATAGTCTTATCTGTGGAGAAGAAGCTACAGAGAACACAGTCCTCGTTTTGTGTTCCGTTGTCTCACGTTGTTGTGATGCCGCGTGAAACAAGACCCGATGTCCTTTGTTAAAGGAGCGCGTCCATTGGCTAGATTGAACAATATGGTGTGCCCTGGGTGCTTAACAACCACCTTGGAAGGAGTAGAAAGGAGAGAGATAACTATCTTCTATATACTAATAGAGAACCCGTTTTCTGTGTGCGGGTGCTTATGCAGCCAAAGCGTTGTCATCCACACACAAGAGGGAGGTATCGGTAGACTTGGGAGAACCCCAAGGCTTGCAAAAAAACATTATGAGGGGAAATGAGAGAACCAAAACAGTCTAATGATCTACCACAGTGTTTCCCAACCTTTTCCAAACTGTTGCCCCCTTCTGACCTTGTTTCCTTCCTGTGGCCCCCCAGCCCATCCTACCGGTAGAACGGTAGCTATTTACAATTACATAAAATGGCAGGAACATAATGAAATGTTGCTGAAGCAGAAAAACATAGAATCATAGAGCTGGAATGCACGCCAATGGTCATCTTTCTAGAGCAACCCCCTGCAATGCAGGAATCTCAGCTAAAGCATCCATGATAGATGGCCATCCAACCTCTGCTTAGAAACCTCCAAGGAAGGAGAGTCCAGAATCTCCCAAGGGAGATCCATCTTCCACATACTACAAAAAGTAAACAACATTTAATTGACACAGAGGGGGAAACCTACTGATTACAGTCCAAAAGCATACCCTCCAACATTTCCCCGATGAAAATAAAGGTAAAGGGACCCCTGACCATTAGGTCCAGTCGTGGCCGACTCTGGGGTTGCGGCGCTCATCTCGCTTTATTGGCTGAGGGAGCCGGCGTTCAGCTTCCGGGTCATGTGGCCAGATGCCCTGGCGAACCAGAGCGGCACACGGAAACGCCATTTACCTTTCCCGCCAGAGTGGTACCTATTTATCTACTTGCACTTCAATGTGCTTTCAAACTGCTAGGTTGGCAGGACCGATGAAAATAGGGACGTCCTATTGCATAATAATAATGTTACTATTTATACCCCGCCCATGTGACTGGGCTTCCCCAACCACTCTGGGTGGCTTCCAACATATATAAAAACATAATTAAACATTAGAGAAACTTCCCTACACAGGGCTGCCTTCAGATGGCTCAGGGGTCAGGTAACTCCATACCCTTCAACATTTCTTTGGTGAAAATAACGACGTCCCAAGGAAAAGCAGGACATTCTGGGATCAAATCAGAAACTGGGATGACTTCTGTAAATCCAGGACTGTCCCTGGAAAATAGGGATACTTGGGGGGGGGGTTGCAAAAGGCGCAAGGGAGTTATATATATATGGGAGAATTTTAAAAAGCAAATGGTCCTCACTGACCTGGTGCAAAAAGATCTTGTAATCCGGAGGAGCCCTGGCTGCCTAGATAAAACACTACAGCCCCACACACCTTTACCTGGGAGTACGGCCCACTGAACTCAGTGTGGCTTTCTTCTGAGTAGGCACTTAGTTATTTACCGGATGAAAGTCAGCAGAACTAGACGACCCTGCTCAGCTAGGCACTGGGGTGGATTTTGCCCCATGCCTTGCAGAGCCAGGCCAGCGGAGCTGATGGACCCTGTGCCCCTCTGCAACATCCAACATGGATTGCACCCCATGCCTTGTGGAGTCAGGCCCAGGCTGCCACCTGGCCCAGCACTGGTGGCAGCTACAAGCAGTGGTCAAAACGGGAGCCTCAGCGGTTGCCCTCTTCCCATGGAAACAAACCAGGACTGCGCCAAGAAAATGCATGTGGCAAAAAGAAGGGCTCGGCCTCCCCCTGGTTGGCTGCCCCCTGGTGGGCCCGCCCCCTTACCTGCTTCTGATTGGCTAAGCAGATAGCCAACCAATCAGGATTCTTTAAAAAAATGATTTCTTTTCTTCTCACTTCCCTCTGTGGCTTCCTAGCTTCATGTCCCCCATTTACATAAGGTCCACCTGTGGCCCCCTTGGAATATCCTGGGGTCCCCCCAGAGAGCCATATGGGAAACACGGATCTAGCAGACCACCTCCCCTTTGCTGGAACTAAATGGGAGATGTCTTTGAACAGAGAAAACAAGTATCAGAAGCTGGCATGCAATGAATTGTGCTTCAGTGTCTGGTGGTCTTCTCTCCAAGTCTGCGGCTCAGGATAGGCATATTCCATTGAACCACTGAATTGGTTGAATACCATACAAACACACAACGTATCCCTTAAAAAATCTGGGACATGATTTACAGGAGACAGAGGGATAAACTTTGCCTGAGGCAGGCTAGAGACCTATGAAAGCGACTATTAAAAGGTAGGAGGGAGAATCAGTGGTTGCTTCCAGACAATCTGTTTTTTGAGCATTCATCCAGATCTATTTGTACAAAATTCGCGGGGAGTTTATATGACACCAGCTGTTTATTGAGCGTTCCTTTTTATATGTTTATGGCTGGTTATATGATGCATCCATCAATTGTTACCCCACAATTCCCGCTGCTTTCCTTGCAAAAAGGTCCATTTTGGGGTGAGTGGGTTTGTTGTGCAAGAGTAGAAAATCCAGGGATGCGGGTGGCTCTGTGGGTTAAACCACAGAGCCTAGGACTTGCCGATGAGAAGGTCGGCGGTTCGAATCCCCGCGACGGGGTGAGCTCCCGTTGCTCGGTCCCTGCTCCTGCCAACCTAGCAGTTCGAAAACACGTCAAAGTGCAAGTAGATAAATAGGTACCTCTTCGGCGGGAAGGTAAACGGCGTTTCCGTGCGCTGCTCTGGTTTGCCAGAAGCGGCTTAGTCATGCTGGCCACATGACCCGGAAGCTGTACACTGGCTCCCTTGGCCAATAAAGCGAGATGAGCGCTGCAACCCCAAAGTCGGCCATGACTGGACTTAATGGTCAGGGGTCCCTTTACCTTTACTAAAGCCTGCACAAATGAGTGGAGTCTCTAAGACAGTTGGACAGGAGGAGGAGGAGGAGCTAGAAGGAAGCAGGACACAGAGTCTGCAGGATCCGTGCACCTTCGCTGGCAGCCAGCGCGTCCAAAGCCCAGAACCAGGGCTTGGCCACCAGGAGGCAGCGCGGAGCTCGGGATCATCTGCCGGCAGGCAGGCTGGCAGCACCGGGGTGGGTGGAAGGAGCTCCAGCAGTTTGCTGACCCTCATTCCCAACGCAGGTCGTCGGGTTTGGGCTGACCCCTTTGGCTGCCTGTTGCTCGGCGGACCGGTGCAGGCAAGCGAGGGAGAGCGCGCGCGCGCAATTACGCATCTGCACCCCGAGGTCAGAGGGAACGTCCGCACCGGAGGGGAGGGGAAAGGAGAAATTCCCTCGTCTCCCAACCCCAGGCGCGCAGGGGACCGACGGGTGGAGCACTAGTTGCGCCCTGCCCGGAGGGTAGGGATTTTTATTTTATTTTATTCACGACGCGGCTGCAGCAGACTGTCCCGAGCTCTGCACGGCGCCTCGTGCGCTCCCCCCCCCCCACTTGTTGCAGCACCTGCTGCCATCTGGGTTCTGCCTTCGCAAAATACAGCTACAAAGGGGGTGTGGTTTGGGGGCGTGTGTGTCTGTGTGCAGAGAGTTCGAGGAACCTCAGCGCAGAGATCCGCTTGCAAAAGCGGAGCGGCGGCTGGATGCAAAGCAGCGTTGGGAAACTTCTGCGACCTCGCCTCCGCGCGGCTTCTCCTCCAAGCCCACTTCTCTTCCTGGGAGGAAACAGAGCTGGAGTTGCGTTGCCTCCTCTCCCACAGGAGAAGTGCAGCAGCTGGCGCTGAGCCACGCCGGGCGAATTTGACAGAGGAGAATCCAAATCAAGATGTGCAAAGGGAGCCTCGGAGAGGCCGGTGCCCTCACTGCTTAGCCGCCCAGCCGCACCACCGCCGCCGCCGCCGCTACTTTCGGATCCGTTTGCCCGCCCCGTCGAACTTCAGGGTTACTCATAAGCGAAATGAAAACGAAGGCGGATGCCAGGGAGCTGTCTGCTTCCGCCACCGTGATCCGGGATCGAGCGGACCTTCTTCAGGCGCCCCTACTCTCCGATCGCGGCCCCTTTGCCCGACGGGAGACGGTGGAGGCCATAGACCTGTCTCTGGACGGGCTGCTGTATCCCAGAAGCAGCGACGAGGAGGAAGAAGAGGACGAGGAGGAGAGGGAAGAAGAGGACGAAGACGACCACGAGCAGCAGTCGTGCCCCCCGAATGAGGAGGCGGAAGAGAGGAAAGGCGGCGATTCCTCCTCGCTCCGGGACGGCTGCGGATCCCCAGTGGACAAAGACGTCTTGGACCGGGTCCTGGACACTTTCCTGGCGCCCTCCTCCAGCCAAGGCAACACGGAGAGCCCCTCGACGTGGCCTTTCTTTGGCTCGGACATCCCCGAGTTCTCCGGCGCGCAGATGAGCCGCCGCCCCGACGGGCAAGGCGAGGACGCGCCAGCAAACGCCTCTTCGCTGCCTCCGGCGCCGACGTCACCTTCTCCGGTTGTCGCCTCTTCTTCCCACTGGAAGACATTCAAAGATGCGGACGGGCCTCCTTTCAAAAGTCCGAAGGGCAAGGCGCCAGGATCCGCCGCCTCGGCGTTTTCCAGGGAGAAGCAGGGCTTCGCAAATCGAAGCTCGACGGAGCAGGAATCGGACGGCGCCGCCGCCTCCTCCTCCAGCGGCGGCAACCAGGCTTCACCCGAGGGGCACCCGGGGGTCGCGGCAGCTGAGCAGCCCATCGCCCACGACCTGTTCAACCTGCCCATCCTCCCTCTCAACCAGGCATACGTAGCCGCCAGGACCCGGCAGTTGCTGGACGTGGACGAGTACGAGGACATGATCCCCTTCGGCGTGCAGGCGAGCACCCCGCTCTCGCCGTCCGGTTGCACCCTCCAGGATTTTACAAACCACATTTACTCGGCCAGAGACGGGCAGCCGCCGCAGCCGCCTTACGCGTTCGGCTCCGTCGGGGATTTTCAGCGCAACCTCAGGATCAAGGAAGAAAGCCTGGTGGTTGCGGCGGCTAAGAACAACAGCGGCGGCGGCCGCGGAAGCGGCTGCGGCAGCGGCAGCGGCTCCTACTCGGCTGCCAAAAGTTTGCCGCCGCCGACGGCAGCAGCAGCAGCAGCAGCAACAGGAGCACCAGCGCCAGCGATGCCTTGCCCAGACTACGCGCCTCCGAGCGTGGTTCCAAGTGCGCTTCCTCCTCTGCCCAAGAATAGCACGGGCGGCATTCCCGAGGCGCCCTGTTCCTCGTTCGAGTCCTTTCTCTACAAAGCAGAGGCTGCTGCTGCTGCTGCAGACGCCGCCCCCGGTGGCCCATACGGACCAGCGCCTTGCAAGGCCTCCACCAGCTGCGGGGCGCAGAGGGACAGCCTCAGTTTGCCCTCCACGTCGGGCGCGCAGCCTCCGGTCCTCTACCAGCCGATTGCCCTGCACGCTCCGCAGCAGTTCGCCGGCCTCAGAGACGGCTTGCCGCAGTTCTTCACGCCCTATCTGAGTTATCTAAGGTAGGAGTTTTTCCAGTCTCTATTTGAGGGGGGGGAGAGTTTTTCTTTTTGTTTTAAAAAGTGACGTTTAGGTGGAGCTTGGCAAAATTATTAGGGCCGGTGAGATAATTTTTGAGGTGAGTCAGTGTTCCAATTATGGCCCAAAAGGTGGCTGTGGCGGCTTGATCAAAGTTCCGCCCCGTGGTAGCTTTCTAAAAATAGGAATTGAGGGGCCTGTTGCATACATAGGTGGTATTATAGTTTCGACTTACTTTGTTTTCCTTGTGCTGCATCTTTGTGCGCGGTTTAGAGACGGTTGGGTTTAAACCGCATGTAAATCGTGCAAATAAATAAAATGAGTACGATCTCTCATCTTTCCACGAAGAAGTCGATTGTAAAGCCATCTGTTCGGAAAGCTGCAACATGGGTGCCTTCTGCAGATCTAGAAAGAAGTTTCAGAAAACTGATAGGTTCTGTAAATAAAGCCTTCCGAAAGACTCTATTCAATATTTTGCTTTTCTGCTCTATGAAATATCTGCACTGTTGAAATAATTTTTAAAAATGCATTGAACTCATTGACTTCGTGATTTAAGCAGCCCCACCTGAGACAGAAGGGCGGGCATGGGGTGTTGTTTATGAGTACTTGCTTACCTAAGCTAGCTGGCTGGCACTGGCTTTCCAAAGCCTCCAGCAAGGGTCTTTCCTCTCCCTTTTAACTGGAGCAATCAGGGTTCATAAACTGATTAATCAACCATTTAAAGCTTGCAGCTCTACAACTTACACACAGTCCTGTGATCCGCTCCTTCAGTGGAGCAGAACAGGGGAGGGCCTGGTAGGACAGAGTGCGAATCATCATATTCCGGTTGCGCTGATTTTCATTATAGCTAATTACATTGCTTTAGCTGCATTAAGGCTGTCGTCCTACATAAAATCACTGGCAATTATTCCCCACTGATACGCGATAGCTGAGTAAACAAGTCTATGATTGTACTGATTTAAACACATATTTGAAATACAGGGCACTAATAATTACAGCCTCTTATTGCCCTGCACAATGGTTTCACTTTCCAGAGTGCCACTTAACTGCTATGCATTAGTCCTCTTTGAAATAATACATTCGCTGCTTCTCTTTGACATTTCCTTTCTTTTTTTTTAAAAAAAGCAAAAAGCAAATTGAAATGTGTTTTGCTCTCTATCAGAAGCTTTTTTTGAGTTGCTTAGAGTATTCAGTTATTCTCATGGGCCAATCGCTGTCCCTTAGCAAATCCTACCTGATCTGCTTGTTGCGAGGGAGGGAAACCAGTAACAAATTAAAACTACACAAACAAAAACATCTACATTCCATTCAGACTAAGTTTTTTCTACTTATGGACAGAGTTTCTACAATGTGAGCAAAATGTAAGCATTATGGAGTGGCGTACGACCTGTTATTTCTTGAAAACGCGTTCTCACTCTTTCTCCCAAATAATTCTTCAAATTGTAACAAATCTCGCTTCCCCTCAAAACGGTGGTTTTCAGAATTTCAGTTAAGGTTTGTAAATAAACAGCGGTTCGTTGCCGGAACGCTTTTCAGAGTTCGCAGTGATTGACAAACCACGCATCATTTAAACCCCACAAAACTTATCTTAAAACTGCTTTGTCTGATAACGGAGCATTGTAGCCGATAAATCTCACAATTCAAACAGGTGCAGGTGACTGCTATGCCTTTGTTAGAAATTTAACATTAACATGCAGAGGGGAGGCAGCTGAAGAATACCTGATAGAGCCCTTCAAAAGTCTGCTAGCTGGCACTCCCACAAAACCTCTGAAAACCTCAAATTCAAAAATGCACACTTCCCGGCCGACGACATGCAATAAATGTCCTTAACATGCAATAAATGCTAGAAATCTGTGTATCAAACACTACCAGAAACCACCAAGCTAAGAATGTTGAAAAGTTAGTACGCTAGCAAAGTTCTTGAATCCAGCTGGAAAAGTGACACATAGAGAATCCTACCACCAATGGATATTAAATGCACGGATATTAGGTATACGCCAGCAGATAGCCCTACTGAGGAAGCCGCTTCCCTTCTGCTTCTTGTTGGTGGAGAATATATTCTTAAAAGGTTCTATGATTTGAGACTAGGCTATAAAGGAAGGCAGCATCAAAGCGTGCTAGAAAGCTGCATGCAAAAGTAGATTGTGCAATACTCAACCCCCAGCCTGCTTGTGGTCAGCTCAGATGAAGTTCCATTGAAGTTGGTAAATGGTGTGATCTCTCAGGGCTTGATTAATTTGAGGTTTCTTCACAACAGCGATATTTCATTACTAATGAGAGGAAGGAGGTGCAACATGGCGCTTCCATGGGGAAGCGGGGGGTGGGTGGGTGGGTGGGTGGAGGACAGGATGCGGTCGTTTTTTGGTCAGCGATGTTGCTCTTGCCAGCCCTCCCTGGAAGACACCATTTCGTACATGTTTGGCTGGACCCAAACAAACATCTCACTTGAGGGTGCTTCTGTTAAACTGGGTGATGACTTGGACTATAGAATGTATTGCTTATAGAACGGTGGTTGGGGAGGAGGCAGGGGGGGTGTCCCTCTAAACACTAGGAACGAATAAATGCTAGGATTTTGATGAATTGGGATATGGATAATATAGAATTGTGCCAGACGGGGAAATTCAGGGAATTCCTGTGCTGGCTTATGCAAACCAGCCTGGATGGTTGGGCGAAGAGCAAATTTGTTAGCGTTATTTTTTTAAAAAGGTGTTGATAGACGCATCCTTTTGCCTGGGGAGTCAGGTGTGTGTTTGAGGGGGCAGGAAATGGAGCTTTGAAGCAGGGATTCCTGGGAGGAGGAAGAAGGGGGGGAGAGGCTGGGATCCATCTTTGAGGGAAGCAGCTTGAAGGGTACTTGTGCCTCTGAAAATGTGCATGCTGTAAGGTCTGGACTTCTTCCATGCAGACGCAAGGTGTAAATTGGTGAACAAACCCTATTTCTCAAAGCACGGCAGTCTCCACTGTGTCTTCTATTCTCCAAAGGGCAGGGCTGGATTTAGCTTTGATGAGGCCCTAAGCCAGGCATAGGCAAACTCGGCCCTCCAGATGTTTTAGGACTACAACTCCCATCATCCCTAGCTAACAGGACCAGTGGTCAGGGATGATGGGAGTTGTAGTCCCAAAACATCTGGAGGGCCAAGTTTGCCTATGCCTGCCCTAAGCTGCTGAAGGTAATGGGGTCCTTTAAATGTCCAGCTCTCCTTTGTCAACAACAAATTGTCACTGTTTTGTGTGTGGAATGTATGCTATATGGTAATTTATGGACCTAATAGGACAACACAAAACACTGTTGCTGTATGTAGGCTTTATTTTATTGGTTTTTTTTATCTTATATTTTGGAAATGTACATCCAGTTTTTTTCTCCTTTAAAATTTCTTAGGGCCCCCAAGAGAGTGGGAACCCTAAGCTATAGCTTGTTTAGGTTATATGGAAATCCGTCACTGCCAAAGGGACACAGACCGTGTGTGTGTGTGTGTGTGTGTGTGTGTGTGCCTGTTGCCTCATGTGCTCTGTCACTGCTTGGTGGAGAGCGCACTTTTGTATGTTGTTCACTGAGAGCATTTTAAAAGCAGAATTGCCTTTCGGGTAATACAACTTGGTGAGGCTGAAGTGGGATTTGCTCCACATGGGGGCAGGCTTTTTTTTTTTTAATCAGCAGGAGTGCAAAGTTCAGGAGCGCTTAATTTTTGAGGCAGTTTTGGTTTGGTGTTGTGTTACTGTAACAGAATGAAGGAGGAAACATTGTGGTTTATGAAACAATGCACGGTGCATAGAAAATGGATACAGTGGTACCTCAGGTTACATACGCTTCAGGTTACATATGCTTCAGGTTACAGACTCCGCTAACTCAGAAATAGTGCTTCAGGTTAAGAACTTTGCTTCAGGATGAGAACAGAAATCAGGCTCTGGAGGCGCAGCAGCAGCAGGAGGCCCCATTAGCTAAAGTGGTGCTTCAGGTTAAGAACAGTTTCAGGTTAAGTACGGACCTCCGGAACAAATTAAGTACTTAACCTGAGGTACCACTGTACAGGGAAGTTTTTCTCCCTTTTCGATGCTGGGTGGGGGTCATTAAATGGAACTCAGCAGAGGGAAATTCAGGACAGACAAATGCAAGTGTGCTATATGTTTATAAACTTAATATTTTTAGAATCTATAAGCATCTATACAGTGGTACCTCGGGTTACAGACACTTCAGGTTACAGACGCTTCAGGTTACAGACTCCGCTAACCCAGAAATAGTACCTCAGGTTAAGAACTTTGCTTCAGGATGAGAACAGAAATCGTGCAGTGGCGGCGCAGCGACAGCAGGAGGCCCCATTAGCTAAAGTGGTGCTTCAGGTTAAGAACAGACCTCCAGAACGAATTAAGTTCTTAACCCAAGGTACCACTGTAAATCTGTATAACAGTGGCCCCAGATCTCTTCAGCAACTATCCCCATGGTTCCACAAATTCATCCCTGGCACCCCCTACCTAACGCTATACAGAGCATTATTCAAAATTGTGGTTTGCATGACCCAGTGAGGAAGATAACAGCACAAATAAGTTAAGCAACATCTCAAAGACCAAAGGTTCCCCACACCAATAGTGGATAGCACACATGTCAGCAACATGTGAGGAACAGTGTAGTTTTTAATGTTAATCGGCTGCACAGGTGAGGGGTGCTGCTTCCCCCCATCTTCATCTTACCTTCCATAAATCTCTCCTCCCCTGGTGCTTTCCCTCCACTTGGCTCACATCTAGTAGGAGGTACTGTACCAGATGAGCATCATGAGTGACAGACTGGAGGGCAGGCAAGGGGAACCTTTTGGCACATCAGATGTTGCGAACTACAACTCCCAGGATCCCTGGCCATTGGACACACTTGTTCAGAAACATCTTGAGTGCTGGACGTTCCCCAACCTGCTGTAGGGAGACAGTCTATAGGTGGTTTGAGGGCTTTGTTTTTGTTCGTAAAATCGGACCTCCGGCACTTTATATGTAATTGATGGAGGCGGACCTGCATTTTTATAATAATAATAATAATAATAATAATAATAATAATAATAATAATTTTTATTTATACCCCGCCCTCCCCAGCCAAAGCCGGGCTCAGGGCAGCTAACAAGCAATAATAAAAACAAGTTGAATGAATACAACTTAAAAACAAGATTAAAATACAACATTAAAATATTGAAACATTAAAATATAAAAATGCAACCTCATCACAGGAGGAGAAAGGAAAAAGAAAAAAGAAATAGGGGGAAGGAATCAAATTGGTTCCAAACCAAAGGCCAGGCAGAACAACTCTGTCTTACAGGCCCTGCGGAAAGAAATCAGATCCTGCAGGGCCCTGGTCTCATGAGGCAGAGCATTCCACCAAGCCGGAGCCAGTGTTGAAAAGGCCCTGGCTCTGGTTGAAGCCAATCTAACTTCCTTAGGGCCCGGGACCACTAGGTTGTTGCTATTTATGGACCTTGAGGCTCTCTGTGGGCCATACTGGGAGAGGCGGTCCCGTAGGCACGAGGGTCCTAGGCCGTGAAGGGCTTTAAAGGTCAAAAGCAGCACCTTAAATCTGACCCTGTACTCCACCGGGAGCCAGTGCAGCTGGAAAAGCACTGGGTGAAGATGCTCTCATGGCAGAGACCCCGTGAGGAGCCTCGCTGCAGCATTCTGCACCCGCTGGAGTTTCTGGGAGAAACACACTTGCCGATGCCTCATCGGTTTTGGCGTAGGGGTGACCTCACAACTGTTGAAGGACCACTGTTTTGGTGCTTATGGACTTGGATGTTTTTCTCTCCAAACCTCTGCCTTTGCAACGTTGGCTGTCCGTTGCAAAGTAAGATTTGCCATTTCTCCTGCCTTACCCATGATGCATTTCTATTCTCATTTTTGTTTCCTTTCTCCAGGTCAGATGCAGATGCTGGCCAGAGCCCTCAGTATGCTTTTGAATCGTTGCCTCAGAAGATCTGCCTCATCTGCGGCGATGAAGCTTCGGGCTGCCATTACGGAGTCCTTACCTGTGGAAGTTGCAAAGTCTTCTTCAAGAGAGCCATGGAAGGTATTGTGCAATGTCACTCGTTGTCGTGGTCGCCTTATAATTATCATGGAATGTGCAATAATTATTATATATAAGAATTATAAGTATTATACGTTCCTTATCATTATCATGGTCGTCTAATAATTAATATGGAATTGTTATGGAATTATTAATATGAAACAGAAGTCTTAAAAAAACTTTTAAGGGATTTGATTTGATTGATTGATTGCATTTCTATGCCAGTTTTCATTCAAATGAACCTGAAAGTAGTTTACAACCAATAAATAACCAAAACATGATAAAACATAACAGCACATCGCGAATACAGCACACATCATATAAAATAATTAGCAAATTATCAATATAACAGTTGCAATCTATTAAAAAAAACTTAAGGAAACAGCAACTAAAAAATAAGATAAACCTCACAATTATGGCAAGTCATGTGATTAACTTAAGGATACTTTTCTAGCATGGTTGTTGGTGCGTCTTGCATTTAAGAAGGGATGAGCCTTCTAGATGTTGTTGGACTCCAACTCCCCTCAGCCAACGTAGCCAATGGGCAGGGATGATGGGCGCTCCAGTCCAACAAGATTTGGGGGGCTACCTGTCCCCTACATTGATTTTAGAGATTATTTGCAGTGTAGGATTGCTTTTGTGTTGTGGTAATGATCTAATGTCAGGTGTTAGGAGAAGGTAACAGGAGCAGGTCAACAATAGCTCACACAACTTCAGTGAAGTTTGAACAAGGTAGTTCAGGAGGCCAGGCCTACAGAGCACAGCAACTCTTCCTGGTAGAACTTTCCCCCCATGAGGCAGTTGTGGGGACTGAAGGTCCTTGCCTTCCCACAATTCCCTAAGTCTCCTCCTCCCCCAGTTCCTTCCCAAACAATCTGAGGCTCTGTTGTCTTGCCTGCCTTTGCTCTTTCTTCTTCATACCTCTACTGATCCTGGGAGACCAGGGAGGAGGGGAGCTGGTTGCAGCAGGACTCCCTGGCTTCCTCACCAGCCTGCCCCATCTCTCTCTCTCCTGGCCCCCTCCTTTCCTGCCTCTGATTCTGGACTACTGTCTGCCCCAGACTCTTCCTGCTCACTATACCCTGTTAACCTCTTCAACGCCTGTCCTGTCTTCTTCCCACTCTTCTCCCTCTGACCACTCATCATTGTCCCACCACCAATTTCCTGGCTCTGAGCCTTCTTCCCTTGGGGGGTTCCCCAGCTGTTGCCTCCTACCACTTCTCCGCATCTAGCTAGTCCATGAGCATTTTGTTGGTTTGTGTTCTTGAGTGCTTGCATTCTGAAACTGGGCGTTGATGAAGGGGATAATGAGCAAACATCTCATTTGCATGCATTGGAGTTGCAATGTTTGCTTAAGTAATTGGCTAAATTAATTAGGAACATAGGGTTGCATGCCAGACAGGACAAAGATTTCAACTTGCATAATGGCACTTTTATTGCTCTCCTCCCACTACACTCCCCCAACATGTGTTTTGCGGGGAGAGAAGTCCTGTTGCACAAATAGAAATCCTTAGTTTGGAAACTGACCTTTACTAAGTCAGACTACTCTGACCGCTAGTGGCTTTCCGGGAGAGTTATTTTTTATATATTTCTTTATTTTCCACAAGATTTATATACCACTTGATTGGAACAAAACTTCAAAATAGATTGAAAGAGTGAAATCGCCAGGAAGAAACGGTTAAATACAACTGCATTATTAAAAACATTCAGGAATCAAGGAAAACGAACAGTACGCTAAAAACAGATTGAAACGCATGCCAGCATTCTGCAGGTCTGGATAGGCTTGCTTAAACAAAAATGTTTTAAGCAGGAACTGGAAAGCATACAGCGAAGGCACCTGCTTTGGGTCAATCAGCAAGGAGTTCCAAAGTGGAAAGCTGTACACTAAAAGACCAGTTTCTTACAAATGCAGAGATGAGTATTATGAGGTATCTGTAACAGCGGCAGTTCTGCAAATTGAAGTGGCAGAGGCGGTATTTCAGGTAAACTGGTCCCAATAGTAAGACCTTAGACTTGGCTGATCATCAGAAACAATTGCAGAAACACATCTGAGCAGAGTTGTTACATGCTGACAGGTTCTGACTCATGCCAGCAACCGTGCCGCGGCCTTCTGTAAAAACGGCAGCTTCTGCATCAAGTGCAAGGGAAGCTCCACATAGAGCACATTGCATTAATCCAGGCTTGAAATAACCAAGCTACTGTGGCCAAGGTTTCCCAGTCCAGGAACAGCCATAGTTGTTGCACCAGCCACAGCTGGTAATAGGCACTCCTAGCCACTGAGGGTATCTGGTCTTGATCCAGAAGCCCAATCAGACTGTGAACCTGTTCCTTCAGTTGGGAGAGCAACCCCATCCAGGGTTGGCAGTTGACCAATTTCTGAAGTATGGCACCTCACCCACAATGCTTCCATCCTGCCAGGATTCAATCTTGGCTGGTGTTTCCTCATCTATCCTCCCATCTCATCTAGGCACCAGCTCAGGAATTCCACAGCCTCTCCTGATGCAGATCTTAATGAGAAACAGCTGACACCTTGCCCCCATGCGCCTCTTGGCTACTCCCAACAACTTCGAATAGGTTTTTTAAATTGCATTGGAGATAAACAGGTTTCAGTCAAGGTATTTCCCCAGCCCTTTCTTGTGACACCAAGCAAGGGTTGAAACCGGGACCTCCTGCATGCCTGACAGATCCTCTGCAGCCCTCCCCACTGAGCCGCATTCTTTCCCCTTTTGACTGATGAAAAAGATGCCCCCATTAATCTGGCAATAGGTTGCTCTGCTTTTCATTTTATAAAAATACCGTTTGCTATAAAAACTGCAGGTGGTGTTCCCCATCTTCCCTTTACACATACACACACACGGCATGCCTGTTCAAGGTGGTGTCTGCTCAGATGTGTGTGGGTGTCAACTGCAAATGTGATAATTGGGCTGCTCACTTCAGAAATACAGGGTTTTGCCCTCGTGCAAATTCAGTGTGAAAGCATGGCTGTGTTTGCAAAACACAAACACAAAAACAACAACAACCAAAAACCAAAAACCATATCCTATGGTTTGCAAGTACTGTATTGGCCCAAATCATTTTCTACCTGTGTTACTTTGAGGCAATTTACCGTATTTTTCGCTCTATAAGATGCACTTTTTCCCTCCTAAAAAGTAAGGGGAAATGTGTGTGCGTCTTATGGAGCGAATGCAGGCAGGAGGCTCTGCTCAGCGCTCCCTTTAAAGAGCCGCATGGAGTGTGTGTGCGGCTCTTGGGGGCTTTTCCCTGAGGAGGGAGAAGGGCTGCACGCTCCGCACACTCTTTAAAGGGAGCGCGGCTCTTGGGGGAGCCTTCATCCCGCTGCCCGGGAGAGGCTGCCTGCAGCTATCCCATAAGCCAGGAAAGCAAGAGGGATTGCTGCGCTGCAATCCCGCTTGCTGTCCTGGCTTCTGGCTTAGCACGTGGCTCTTGCGGGAGGTGGGGGAAGGGACAGAGCGCGCGGCTCTGTCCCTTCCCCCACCTCCTGCAAACGCCTTCAAGAGCCGCGCTCCCTTTAAAGAGCCGTGCGGAGTGTGTGTGTGGCTCTTGGGGGCTTTTCCCCGAGGAGGGAGAAGGGCAGCCCGTCAGTGATGGGCTGCCCTTTCCCCTCCTCGGGGAAAAACCAGCAAGCGCCGCACACATGCTCCACATGGCTCTTTAAAGGGAGCGCTGAGCAGAGCCTGGGATGCATACAGGCTCTGCTCAGCGGTCCCTTTAAAGAATATTTTCCCCCTTGTCTTCCCCCTCTAAAAACTAGGTGCTTCTTATGGTCAGGTGTGTCTTATGGAGCGAAAAATGCTGTACTTACATTCATTTTTTGATAGAGTTGCAAGCTTGGTGGATCAAGGGGATGCTGTGGGCATAGTGTATCTTGATTTCAGTCATGCTTTTGACAAAGTCTCCCAAGATATTCTTGTGAGGAAGCTGGTAAAAAGTGGGTTGAGCGAGGTAACTGTTAGGGGGATTTGTAGCTGGTTGGCTGACCAAACCCAAAGAGTAGTCATTGATGGTTCCTTGTCATCCTGGAAAACAGTGACTAGAGGGGTGCCGCAGGAACTTTCTGACAGTAAGAGCTCTTGTTTCAGGTAGCTTCTGTGCTCCCTGAATGCCCTCACATCTCTAAGCAGGTTTAATACGACTGAGATATCTCCCCGAGGAATAAAGACATGACTAAAAGCAGATAGTTCCAAGTTACTTCTGTTTCCCTTTCTTGATATAACTGAGCTGTAGTGTCCTGGTGGCAATTACTGTTTCAGAGTCGCTGCTTCCAGCCCCTCACAATTTTGTGGATGGAAAAAATTGTGTTGTGGTTGTGGGGTTCTTGCGCAACAAACTCCATTTTCTGAAACAAATAAGAGCCTCCCCGCAAATAAATCAGCAAGGATGTTTGGCTGTTTGTCAATCTTGTATAGCCTTCCCATAAACTTTGTGCAAACCACTCAAGATGAATGTACAATAAACAGGTTCTCTGATAGCAACCCATGTCAGTACATAGCAACCCAGTAATTAGAGCAGCAAAAGGAAACCATCTGCTAAGAGTTTGCACTCTTGGTAACATTTGTATTCCCTCTTTGAACTCTTTGGTGGCCCTTCACCCTGGTCTAGGAGAATATTTTTGGTCTGCAACAAGAGAATATGGAATGTGCCTCCAGGGGTGAAGTCAAACCACTGGAGAATCACAGCGCCTGCTGTGGCCGCAGAGACCCGTTAGTTGTGATGACTGCATCTCGTGTTGTCTTTGCTGGATTAGCTGCACCGAAGTGACTTCCCCAGGGTACAAGCCTAGGCAGTGCGTATGGAGGTCCTGTGCTGCCCAGATGACAAGAACCCCCTCTTGGCATCACTGATGTGGTCCAAAGGAAAGCAGAGCCATATGTTTGGCACCAGCTTTGCTCTAGGAGTTGCCAGAAGGAGATGTGAAAGATACCATCCAACCTTCTTAGGGAGTCCACTCTGGATTTGTGTAGGGTTCACTCCTGAGCCTTTTC